GAGTAAATTACTAAAAAATTCCAATTTCTTTACTTAATATTCTTTTCACATAGGGCCGGTCTCACAGTCTCCGATTAACGTGATTCTCCCTAGATTCTCCGATTAAACTCACTCTTCGTCTCTTTCTAGGGGGATAGTTAGAAAGAAATGCAGAGTGAGTTTAATCGGAGAATCACGTTAATCGGAGACTGTGAGACCGGCCCATAGTTCTACAAGCATTGATAATTTTTACAATTTATTTGCTTATATACAAGATTATATATTTATACAATTTATGTTATATATATATATATATATATATATATATGTATATGTATATATAAATTATACTATTTATATATAATCTTAATATAGTAAAAATATTCTTATATAATTGTACATAATGTGTATAACATGTATTCTCATATTATTGTATATTATTGTCAATTATAAAAATACGTAAATAAATGATAGAATGATATTCTTACACATATGTCTATCATATGAAAATAATAAGAAACATGACTCAATTCAAAAATCATTTGTTCTCAGACAAAAATTCAGATAATTAATAAAACATATTCTTTTAACTTTTAATCATTAATCATGTTTCTTATATAACTCATATACGTTAACGGCATGCACTTAAATAATATCCTCTAATAATATAAAGTTACAAATAATAAGAAACGTACAAATCTTAGAACTAAAAATTAAAAAAGTCTAAACCGTATTTAAATAAAAACCACTATTTTCTGCGAGCATTTTCATATATTGATCGATTTTCGTTGACACCTCTTCAAATGATTCGTCGTAATATGTTTCCTCGACCATTAAATCCATAACCGTGGAACATGAAGTCACCACTTCGTAGCAAATTTGTTTGTAAATTTGTAATTTTGTATCATCCTCAATTATTGTAGAAAATTTCTTGCGAGCGTCCTCTAACAATTTTCCTCGCCCTTTATGTAGTTTTATTTGATTATCGCTTTGTTCTTCAAAACCTGCTAAATATTTATATGTATCCGAAATTTCAAGTATTATCTTTGCATAAGTTACAGTGTCAGTGTCTAGAGTAAAATGTTCCTTCGCCTTTTCAAATTGTCTCAAAGTTTTTATAAAAATCGATTTAGCATCAGCCAAATTTAATATACATGTTTCTGTAAACTGAATAATTTTACCTTCCAATTCTTTTTCTAACAAGTCAGAAAATATTAAATTTGACTTCTCAGATTTTATTTCTAATTTTGACATAAGATCTTGTATCTCAGAAGATTTATTTCCTTTATTCTGTGAGAATTTTTTCATCCAGAAACGTAAAAGAGAAACTCCATAGGAACCCCAAGCTCTAGCACTAACGGCTGAGACGTAATCATAACTTTCATACAAGTGAGAATCAGAAGCTCTCATTTCCTTCTCTGCCGTTTTCAATCTATTATCTTCAACAAATCTGAATATAACATAATCTCCAATAGCAATGTGACTTTTAGCTTCAGTGAAACGACCGTTTGCTAGAAAGTATCTAGAGAGCTCAAATAAAGTTAAGGCCATATCAAGACATTTTTTATCAAATTTTGTTTCGTTAGATACTATGTCTGTCAATAGGGTGTTTAATTCCTTGTTCAGGAATTGTACAAATAGGTGCTTATCTTTCGGCCTTGTAAGATATTGAAGTCTTAAGTTTTGTAAAGTTGTATGATGTAAAGTGTTCAAGATAATTTTAGGATTCGATTCTTCTTCTATAATACCAACAAGACTTGCTATATGGATGGGATCGGGATAATTCTCCTCCTGATGTGTGTATGTCATATATAATTTCAATGCTACATTCAAGTACCTATCAGTCTTTTTCTTCACTTTCTCATAAACTAAAGTCAATTCGTTAAGCACACCTATAGATGTCAATATAGCTTTATGGTTCATCATATTTTTGTCTAACATTTGCACACATGTTGAAAAACATTGTAAAGCCGTATTTAAATCGTCAGTATCCGTAGAAGTAATATATTCCAAACCTACGTTGTAATAAGCTGCCGATAAAGCAACAATATCATCAAATTTTGAATCCGTTGAAACATCAATTACATTTTGAAATAATACATCCATTCTCTCCTCTAACGCATTGATTTTGTTTCTCTTCTTAGAAAGTTTAATGTCTCCATCCATGTACTTCACTTCAAACGACATTTGTAAAACTTTCAAAAATTTTTTACTAATATTCATATTTGTAGCGAGTTCGGCCGGTATCGTTTCTGTGTAAACAGTAAGAATTAACAGTGAAAAATCATTACATGAACATTTATCTAACTAAATCATTTATATGTGTTACCTAGTTGAAGGGATGCGCGTTTTTCTTCCAGATGTTATCTGAGGAACGCAAACAGTACTGCTCGATATTGATATAAAGACAATTTCCAGTATAAACTTGTAAATCTGTTCCGACTTCCAAAACTAAACGTTCTCTAATCCTGGGGGTGGGGGATTTCTACATACACGTGCTATGCGTGAAAATTGGAGGGGATTTATACCTCTGATATATCCAATAGAAAGATTTATTTTATAGGGATAAATTTTCTCTTTATCTAGAGCCCCTAGCGCGTTCTCCTATAGGATATCTAATTGCGTATCGAACATTAGATACGTTTTCCAAAAGAGACATAAGATCCCACTCAATGACCGATAGTGTCAAACTTATTTATTTATTTACTTTTCGAATGTTCTTCCAAAAGATCTTGGAATAAACATCCTTTTTAAATTGGGGATTATTTGAAGCAGAAAGAATGAATATGTAAAGTTTTTTGGGTAGTACAAATTAGTACAAATTCAATTCTTTGCATTTCTGCCATTGGTTTTCTTTTTTCTTTTTTTTATTGTAGTCCTGCTTAACCCTTAACATGCATACGTGAGTCTACGGTGCCCGAGCCTACGTGATATCTGCTTGTAACAGTAAAATTTGCAAGCTTGTTAGAAGATACTAATTAAATAAACGATGGTTAGCAAAATAACTATAAAATCGTCAACTACAATGTAGACAAACGTTTCATGAATTTTTTTAGATTTTTTAAAAATATTTTAAGGTAGGGAAAAATAGCGTCGAACGTGACAAGAGCCACGTATGCACTTAGAAGGTACCGAAAAAACGTATAATATGCACTTTAAAGGTTAATATTAATATTGTTAAGTTTGTAATGTAGAAATTGGAAATACAGAGTCTGAATAAGATATTTTTATGCTAATATTAAATCAAGAAAATTATGAGTTTAAACTAATCGTATTTTAAGGAAACTTATGTTATTATTATGAGGAAAATTATGTTATTACTTATTATGTGAAAACTAGAAAACCAAAAAACGTTGAGCAGCTACTAGAATGTGGCGAGCAAAGGTTAACATTGATATACATTCGCACCGTAATGGAAAATGTACCAAGCAAAAGCCAACCACAGCACGAGCAGTATAAACATTTAGGTGGAGATGTAAATTTTTTTGTCAATAAGCAGATGCAAATAATACGAAATATTCGTATACGACATACATGAATAGATACATAAAATTTTGCTGGCGTTCTCTTGGGATTCATAGAAATTGTTCGACACGCCCGAGCGAATATATCCTTACTTTGTATAAAAGCAATTGTTCAAATAATCAGGCCGGGCAATACGTAGCGATACAATTTACAATGTATGAACGGTATAAAAAGGTGCTGAAGAATTGGATATTAGGACTGGCTTGAATTCAGTAGCGATGTTTGAAACCACGTATCAAAAATGTGATCTTGCTTTCTCTCAAATTGAAATATCCCATCAGAGTATTTTAAATTAACACCAATAATGTAATTATAATATTTATTAGACACTAACTATTTGAAATTCCTTTTGTGTTAATAAGAAAATTGATGGTATTGCAAAAGATACTGGTTCAACTGGAGGCCAAATATTACTCATAAATAATACTTGATATATTATTAATTGAACTAAAATAAACTTCAATTTTTAGTCGATAGAGAAAATCCCAGAAGGAACAGGTAGAGACGGAATATATGTAAAACACAAAGTAAGCAGATAAGACTTCTAACAGTCAGAAAATTAAAAAAGTTCTGTAAGTGATGTTAGTGTATTTCAAATTCACTATATTAATAGTTGCTCGATTATCTGCATGCGCTTTTTAAATTATACATTCTGTGTTGTACATACACATTCAAATGTACTCTGTTTCTTGGTTGTAATCATTGAAATTGATATTGAAGTTCGCATAATTTTTATCAGCATCTAGAGGGATCGTTTAAACGAGATAATAGGTTTCTGGCCAGAGCTACTGCGAACGTTACAATGGTTGTAATCACGTAATATCCGTTCGACACAATCAGGGCACTAGTCTTTCAAGTTATCAGCAACACTTTACTTTGGAATCACACACGTCTCTTTAAGAAGGTAAATTAATATACTCTTGGAGTCTGTTGTTAATGCATTTAAATCTATAGAAAAGATATTTGTCTTTAACTTGCTTAATAAATAAATAGAGTAAATTACTAAAAAATTCCAATTTCTCTACTTAATATTCTTTTAACATAGTTCTATGAGAATTGATAATTTTTACAATTTTTTTGCTTATATACAAGATTATATATTTATATAATTTATGTTATATATATATACACACACATATATGTATATATATGTATATATGTATATATAAATTATACTATTTATATATAATCTTAATATAGTAAAAATATTCTTATATAATTGTACATAATGTGTATAACATGTATTCTCATATTACTGTATATTATTGTCAATTATAAAAATACGTAAATAAATAATGGAATGATATTCTTACACATATGTCTATCATATGAAAATATTAAGGAACATGACTCAATTCAAAAATTATTTGTTCTCAGACAAATTTAATTCAGATAATTAATAAAACATATTTTTTTAACTTTTAATCATGAATCATGTTTCTTATATAACTCATATACGTTAACGGCATGCACATAAATAATATCCTCTAATAATATAAAGTTACAAATAATGAGAAACGTACAAATCTTAGAATTAAAAATTAAAAAAGTTTAAACCGCATTTAAATAAAAACCACTATTTTCTGCGAGCATTTTCATATATTGATCAGCTTTCGTTGACACTTCTTCAAATGATTCGTCGTAATATGTTTCCTCGACCATTAAATCCATAACCGTGGAACATGAAGTCACCACTTCGTACCAAATCCGTTTGTAAATTTGTAAATCTGTATCATCCTCAATTATTGTAGGAAATTTCTTACAAGCGTCCTCTAATAATTTTACTCGCCCTTTATGTAGTTTTATTTGATTATCTCTTTGTTCTTCAAAACCTGCTAAATATTTATATGTATCCGAAATTCCAAGTGTTATCTTTGCATAAGTTACAGTGCCATTGTCTAAAGCAAAATATTCCTTATATTCCTCTTTCGCTTTTTCAAATTGTCTCAAAGTTTTTATAAAAATCGATTTAGCATCAGCCAAATTTAATATACATGTTTCTGTAAACTGAATAATTATACCTTCCAATTCTTTTTCTAACAAATCAGAAAATATTAAATTTGACTTCTCAGATTTGATTTCTAATTTTGACATAAGATCTTGTATCTCAGAAGATTTATTTCCTTTATTCTGTGAGAATTTTTTCATCCAGAAACGTAAAAGAGAAACTCCATAAGAACCCCAAGATTTAGCATTAACGGCAATGGTATAATTCAAACTTTTATGCAAGTAAAAAAAATCTTTCTCTTCCATTTTCAATATCTCTCCAGCAACTCTGAATATTACATAATCTCCGATCGCAATGTGACTTTTAGCTTCAGTGAAACGATCGTTTGCTAGAAAGTATTTAGAAAGCTCAAATAAGGTTAAAGCCATATTAAGACACTTTTCATCAAATTTTGTATCGTTAGATACTATGTCTGTCAATCGGGTGTTTAATATCTTATTCATGTATATTACAAATAGATGCTTATCTTTCGGCCTTATAAGATATTGAAGTCTTAAGTTCTGTAAAGTTGTATGATGTAGAGTGTTCAAGATAATCTTAGGATTCGATTCTTCTTCTTCAATACCAACAAGACTTGCTATGTGGATGGGATCGCGATAATTCTCCTCCTGTGTGTATGTCATATATAATTTCAATGCTGTATTCAATTCGCTATCAGTCTTTTTGTTCATTTTCTCATAAACTGAATTCAATTCGTTAAGCGCGCCTATAGATGTCAATATAGCTTTACGGTCCGACATTTTTTCTTTCAAAATGTCCACACATCTTGAAAAACACAGTACAGCAACAGATAAATCGTCAGTATCCGTAGAAATAACATATTCCAAGCCAACGTTGTAATAAGCTGTCGCTAAAGCAACAATATCATCAAATTTTGGATCCGTTGAAACGTCGATTACATTATGATGTAACACACTCATTCTCTCCTCTATCGTTTTGATTTTGTCTCTCTTCTCAGCAAGGGTAATGTCTTCATCCATGTACTTTACTTCAAACGACATTTGTAAAACTTTCAAAAATTTTGGACTAATATTCATACTTGTAGCGGGTTCGGCCGGTGTCGTTTCTGTATAAACAATAAGTATTAACAGTGAAAAATCATTACATGGACATTTATCTAACTAAATTATTTATACGTGTTAATACAAAGATACAGTGAGTTGCGTTTAGTTATATAAAGGACCGTCTACAGTAGCCGTAAGAGTATGCAGTAAGACGTAAGCAGTAAACTACTGACTAATGGGATTTTTACAATTTAAGAATAATCGACTGTGGTTGGTCAATAACTTACTGTTTACGTCTTACTGCATACTCTTACGGCTATTGTAGGTAGACGGTTCTTAAGGTGTGGATGTGAATGAATGAGGTTAAGGAAAAATGTAAACCAAGTCCGTTCTTGGCTATAAACGCTGAAATAATAAATTCTATTCTATATGTGTTACCGAGTTCTTGAAGGGATATGCATTTTTCTTCCAGTTGTCGTCTAAGGAACGCGTACATTATTGCTCGATATTGATATAAAGACAATTTCCA